CATGGGATATCCACAGCCTGAGGGAAGCTTGAACCCCCCCCAGAGTGGGAGCTGAAGGGAACATAACACCCCCTGCTTTCCAGGACTCTTGGTAACCAACTGCTATTACCAAGATGGGTATGCTTATACATCCCCTTCACAAAGTCTAGGGAAAGCTCCTACTTTCAAGAGATTGTTTATCTACCAAAATTAATAGGAAATTCCCTTCTCTAGTCTTGAGTGAGCCTCTCGGAGAGGGGTGAAATACTTGACATTTCCTGCGGCCACCCAGCTTCCACGAGGCACTGAAGATTTGACAACAACATGTGGAATAGAGGGCCTGTGTCTTCACTCTGGGAAATGAGGATTTGATAACCCAAACCCTCTCCTTCTCTCATTATTATACTGGCTTTGAGTTCTGGAGGCATGATTAAACTCCAAGTTGTTGAATCCTGGTGACCCAGTCTGTGTACTGTAAAACAGGTTTCCTGTTCCCATGCCTTGTTAAAAAAATCAGTACTCATTTCAGCTCATGCTGACAGCTGATACTATGTGTAATATTAAACTAACATTTTTATTTTCAGAGTAATTTGAATAGAGTAGCCTTAATTTAAGAATTATTTCAACAGTTCATTTCCTAAAAATAAATAACAATCTCTCTTTCCAAACCTTACATTCATACACAACCTGACTCTCGGCATGAAGTTTCACTGAAACCACAACATGGCCACAGCAAATTCAATGCAAAAGTAATCATCTCAATTTACATGGAAACCACCGTCAGTGGAAAAAATCCAGCCAAACCTACACAATAAAAACAGGAAAGAAAACTTACAGGATTGTCCAACAATCAGCCTAAAAGCACAGGCAGTCTGGAGAAGGATATTAATCTCTTTAAATCTTGAATAGCTCTAGAAAATTCTATAGCAGGGATGGAATTTTCTATTCAGTTACACGGGGTGATTTAAAACATGTAACGGTAATTACAAACCTTCTGTTGGATTTTGCTTACAGCATGGTCAAAGAGACTATGATTTAACTGAGACTAGAATTTCAGACATGCTTTTACACGTTTTTAGTGTTGCTCCCTGCAGATCCATCCTGTACAGATGAGGTTATTTACAGATTAACTGCCTGGAAACAAGAGATGTTACAATATGAAATATGTTCAAAAACCTGGAATTATTTTTATAATTTTTGCAAAGAGAATTAGTAACACACAGCACAATTGGCCCAACATCTATAGATCCGCTTGTAATTACTACTTTCTACTACGGCAACCTTCAATCTACTACTGCATGGGTTTCCATTGATCCACAAGGGAAATGTGACTCTGTCTCAATACTGTTAAATGCCATTTTCAGAGTAGGAAATACAAGCTTTGAAGTGACCACTGAAATGGAGCAATTACATAGTTTAGTATTTGCTTTACGCAGTTTGAGAGAATTGTTACAAATTCCTTTAAGCACTACAAAATGGGAAGTACTGTGCATAACATGTAAATTAATTTAAACCTGCTTGGCCACAATTATGTTATGCAGTTGACAAAGTTTTGATATAACCAGTGGCATAGAGGTCCCAAAGTAAAATCTTAGGTAGTCACTATGTAAAATACCACTTTAAAATATGAGTTACACACTGTAAGAATCCTAGTTTATCAATAATCATATATCACTAACGAGTAAGTTGATAAAGGATTTTTTTTTTTCCCCCACACATTTCTTGCCTCTCTCTTCCATCCTAGTGCTAAGTCCATGTTAACTGTGCCTGCACAAATAGAGCTGGGAAGACTGAGCGCAGGAGAAGTAATCAAGATTGGTGTGTCAACAAAGGCACCAGATGCTACCGATGCCTCTTCCACGCTACAGTCCTCAGGCACCACAGCCAAGCCAGGAACTCTTCCAGCTCCAACGTTGCCTAGTAAAGACAGATTTGAAGAGGCACAGCCACTTCCCTAAGTGATAAAAATAAAATGCTGATACATTCTATTGTCAAATAAGCCTGTATGATCAGAATTACATAGTGTTAGACTATTTTATTCTGGTTATACAGTCCTTTGGACAGATCACATTCAACTGTTCATTTGGCCTAGCACAGATCTTGTTTAATTAATCCACAGAGTAAGTTCCTTTCCAACAACTGTTTTAATGCAGTGTTAATGAAGGCCCCTAATTTAATCTTCTGCCCCTCCATTTAAAAAGCAATTTTTAAATATCATCAAAAGACAGCACTTGGATAACAGTTCACTGCAAAGACTTCCACTAAGAAAACAAGGTAAAAAACCCCAACCCCTACCCCCATACACACAGAAAGAATAAAAACCCATGCCAAATAATGGTTTATAACAGATTTTACTTGTAGAAAAGCAACATTTTAGCATCATTTCACAATAAAAAGGTAAGATCTGTTTGGTGTTATACAGACATGGTGTATCAACTCAGAATGCAACAGGTAAAGCATACTGTAATACTCAGTATGAAAGACATGTTCAAACACTGTTTTATTTAGCCAATTACTCACGGTACCTCTTTGTGGATACTTTCTTAACTACAGGTCCTCTTTGCTTCATACATGTCAGCAGTATATTTTGGAATATGAAAACTGGAAGTGTTAATATGCACTGAAATGTGTCTTGAAAAATCAAACTCAGGACCAGGTTCTCACTACACAGTAATAGCTCTACCAGAACATTGAAACAAATGACACCTTGTATGTAAACAATCTGTCTCATCATTCTACTCCCCTTTATATAAAAAAGGCAAAAAAAAATGTCTTGATATAGAAAATTATTCCATCTTCTTGTTTCTGCATTCAAGCAACTTCATTATCAGGTTTCCTTATCCAGATATTAAACTGTAAAATGAACAGTTATTTATCATGGGACTTTTCCGTCATCTTCAGTGCTAATCTTCCAACCATTAGCAAACTGTATACAGGGAAAAACACAGAATTAAACAATAATTTGCCAATTAATTTTCAAATACTTCCCATGTAACTGGTACATAGAAACAAAAAAGCTACAGAAAATACGATTTGCTCCATCTCAGTTTAATTAAGCAAATAAGAAATCACACATAGGAGGTTTAAAAAAAAAAGTATATTATGTTGTACCTGACACCAGCAATTAGCCCTGCAGGCATGAATTTTCCAGAGTTGTAAAATCTTGTTCCCATGATGGCAGTCAGTGTTCCAGATGTAACTTAAACGAGAGATTATACAGTCCAGTCAGCAGAGATGCACGCATGTGAGAGAGACACTACAATTCAAAACTAACGGAACAGACAAGACTAGTAGCATCAAGGACAAAGTGAAACAGGATGTGAGGGACTAAGAGAGCCAATAAACTGTGTAAACTTTGGAATGCCTCAGTATGTGAAGAATAAATATTATAAATCAAGTTCTAGCAGACAGTGCACTCCATATGCTTCCGCACACACTCCTCAAATTTCTTTGTCAAAGTGTGCTGCTTTGGAGACTGCAAACAATCTATGCTATGCTGCTCTGGAACTGACTTGTTCCCTGTGCACAGGAAAAGTACTGAACCTGTGTACGTAATTCCCCTACTTTTCATAAAAGGGAGATAGCATTTTCTTGTCCAACTTGCAGTAATGTTCTGAGAAATAACTAGTTTATGTTTGCAAAAGACTTTGAAATGGAAATGTGCTATGTAAATGCTAAGCATTATCAACCCATTTCAGCCCTGGACACCACCTATTAAATTCAGAGAGTTAAAGCTACCCCCGACCGCTTGACACAGAGACAAGAACCAGTTAGTTTCACTGAGCCAGTAAAATGGCAATCCCTGAAACACCTTATCTCAAAGACAGACAGAACACCAAGAAAACTATACTGAAAACATACTGATTAAATCCTTAGCACGCATCTGCTACCCAGTGGTAACAGCTACATATTAACATGTTGTTCCAACCACTCTTACCTTCTACCAGGGCTTCTGCATGATAGCTGGTCCTGCAGGACCCAGCTCATCTTCAATACTAGCCTCCTTAACACCACTCTAAATATTGTCCTTGACATCTAACAGTCTTATATCAGTGGATATGTAAAAGACTGGGACCACAGTATAATACACAAGAAAGAACTAAAATACTTCAGTATGCAAATACCTCAAGCTCTAATCAGCAGCCAGTCTTCAAAATACGCACACCTCACTAAATGTAATTTTGTCTAAGACAGCAGTACAACACACCTTCTCCAAAAGCTTTATAAAGCATGAAAAGGAGGAGGAAAAGACTCTATATGCTACTGAATTATAGAAATGTATCTGTATCTCACATTTGGGAAATTACTTTGTCTCACTCCTGTAAAGCCTACTGTATTTGCACTTTATTCCAGTTATTTAGGCTTGACCATGCACAGCTTTTGGCCTGTCTAGCAGATGTGAAAGTGCACTGCACTGTAGACAATGCTGAAGTAGAGAGAAATGCTGAGCCTTCCCCTTTCACTTCTTTCACATATCAAAGAGCTAGATGCTATGTCACCACTTCAGTGAACAAATGCTGTAGTCAGTGGCAGCTCTTTAAGCACTGACTAAGCAGTGACTCTCCATGGTTATCTTCTCAAAGTCAGGGAGAAGGGAAGCTCCAGTTCTGAGAAGAAGGAAGAAGAAACTACATTACTGAAGCTTACTTCCCCGTTAAAACTCCCCAGGTTTGCAACACCTTTGTAATTCCACATATCTGTCATATACATAAATAAGCCAATCACAGTCTCTGCCATTTTCAGTGATAATAAAATAATCTGCTGACAGTATGGGCAATCTGCAGGGGAATCACTCTTCCTGAAGTGCTCCAGTCTCCTGCAGGATGCTGAAAGTGGGATCCAGCCAAAAAGAGGACACAGAGGTCAGACATCAATTTACTAGCACTTCCCTTGCACTACAATCCTTCGAACACACTAATACGAGACATGTGCTTGGTGGTAGCCACCAATTCAGCTAAGCCTGGGGACTGAAACATAGCTAGTGCTAGAGGACTGTCATGCACTGATGTCTTCTATAGATCAGGAGAGGAGAGCATACTAACACAGACACTGGCAAAGAATTACACAAAACACGTGCTCACAAGTATCTGAGATACAGCAGCCTAACAAGTGTCAGGCATCAGCTGAGCTGCAGGAATTACGTACACATATTTTCTCGGCCCCCTTCAACTGCAAGCTACCCTAACTTATTAGTGAATGCGAAAAGTTCAAGTAATGTTATCTTGCGACTGGCACAGGTTAAAGCGATAGGTGATAATCGTCCTAACTTGATCACAACCCTGAGCTCTCTGAGCTCTCTGTGGTAAAGGGCAGAAAGACAGAAGTTGCATTTTGGAGATTCACACCATGCTACGTACAAGTTTTTAAACAGAAAATGCTTGTCTGTTTTATTTTTTTTCTGAAGGACATGAAAGAATGGTATTTGATTATTTTTTTAAACCACCTAAGTTTCACTTTATCCTAGCACACGTTTTTCCTTCACAACCTATAGGTTTTTTGATATTCGGAAGACAAACTCTAATGATAAATAACAGATATTTTCCTCTCCTGTTGTAGAAAAGAAACAAAAATGTAAGTTTGAACTATGACCCAAAGCACTTTATACTTCTTGCAAAAAGGATGCAGGAACATAGTGAGAAATCACTGAACAAGACATACCAAGACAAGCAGGTTTTAATATGCATTCTCAATACTTTCTTTTTAAAAAAACAATTAAGTAATGCTAACAGTTCACATTCCAGGAAGAGCAGTGGAGTTTGGCCACTAACGGAGATTTTTCACTAAAACGCAAGTTTGAAGATTGGATTGAAACTACATTTATAACATCATCAGTTTAACTCTTCTGCAAAGACTTTTAGGCACTTGTTTTAAGTATCCAGTTATTTTAGGGTAAATATAAACTTTAGGTTACTTACTCAGAGAAATCCAAACATTATTTGGATTCTGTGAGAGCTGATAGGCACCCAGTCCAGCCAAACTCCCAAAGAACAGGCCAGCAGCTAATGACGGGACACTACCTGAATAAGTAAAACACAAAGCATTTATTAGAAGCTCAGAAATAAACTGGCTCATCAGCTTCTGTGTTTTGTAAAACACCAACAGTAATAAAAAAAGTATGGGCATTCATTGTTATAAAGCAGATTAGAGAGGGTTTTTTTAAGATATTAAGACCATGCTGATCTGCATCAAGAAACACGTTCAAATACTCTTGCATAAGGTACAAACAGCATTAGTATTTAATTCTTTAGCAAAAAAAGCCATTAATATATTTATGATGGAAAAAATAGCAAGAAAAGTAAAAGAATAGGTGTTTTCTTTGTGCAAACTGAAGCATGTTGTTTCAACACAGTAATGTCAGAATTTCTTGAGAGGCAGTAGGTGGATTAAATAATAAGGATTTAATATCAGAAAGGACACATGGACTGAACTGGGCAGGAGGGCATGCAGACAAAGAAAAAAGTTGCCAAAGAAGAGAGCGGAGTTGAATAAGAGAGGTCATATCTCTTAAGTACAGCTGAGAGGTGATCCAAAGGAAACTGTAGACTTTGGAAGAAGGTTCCCTGGACTCACCTAAACTTTGGATCAAGTCCTCAGTATAAATGATAATCCCAAGCTACCAGAAGATGAAGGATACCACACCCAAATTGTTGATTTATAGATTACATCAAGTAATGAAGTGGCATAAACGCTGTGAGTGGTGAATGCCCTCAATAAGGTTAATGGAGAATTTAGGACTTAATGCTACTTAGGGTGGTTCTTTATATATTCTATTTTTCAGGTAATTTTTAAAGGACTCAAGATTGCAAGGCTAAGCTGATAAAGATCTCCTCTCAGTGTTACAGAAGGATCACATATTGCTACCAGAAAGTGATCATTTTTCAATCAACAAGGTACCTATAACATTGCTTCGGATCCTGCTTTTGGTATCAAAAGCAAGAGATAAAGATGACAGAAAGCACCAGATATTCTTGTACATGTGCAAGGAAAAGATACATACTCTAATAAGTGGCTGCTCTGCACAGAATACAGTTTAGCAACCAACGTGTGGTAGCTACAATTCTTTCCACAAGCCTGGGAGCTCACAAATGGCCATCATATTATTGAATTTTACCTCGAGGCATTGTTTAAGCAGCTATGGCACATAGACTTAGTAGGACAACCACAATGCTTCTGGCTCAGGAAGTTCCTAAGTCGCAGAACACTGGGACCCAGAGAACTTACTGAACAAAGAGATAAAATCAATCAACCAATCACTCTTTGCTTGCCCTGTTCTCATATTCTTCCCAAGGCACCTACTGCTGAGCACTGTCTGTACAGGTAAATAGACCTGGTTGTAAAAGAACAGATCACCATCTTAGCTCTAGGGATGAAAGTTCCATTTTATGTTTCTCCAAGTTATTAGTAGGGACATGATAGTTTCTCTCTCCCCGCCCCCCTCCCCAAGTGACCATACAAGTTCCTGTTCCCCAGGAATTAGTTAGTTAGGTTCTCAGTATTGTCCCTCCTGCCCTAAACTCCACTCACAGCCCAAAGGACAAATCAAGCCAATAGAAACAGACTGGAATAGGTATTAGCATCTATGTAGCCAAAAGCAGTGGTAAGATTCTTACTGACTTCAGCAATGCACCTTCATATCACTAAGATGGCTTAGGGATTTTCAAAGCTGAAAGAGACAGTATTGCAGCAGGGATTAACCCACAGTTCTGTCCAGAAGAGGGCAAACTCAGAAAAAGGTCAGGAAATGAAAGCAGTAGGTCAGAGGGTAAGCTTATGATGCAGAGCCCAGAAAAGGAACAAGCTTATGTACTGATTTGCACTTTTCAGCTCTACTTGGGGAAAGGATCCTTCTGAAAACTCTCTGCAGCTTACAGCATACTGTTAGCATCAAACATTAAAATGAGATTAAATCTCTAAGGACAAAAAACTGATGATTCATGTCATTTGAAGATACAGAACATTTATAGAATGTTTATATTTAAAATAGCAGGGGAAAAGCCTTTCTGAAGCAAACTTATGCCAGTTCACCCAAAGAGCACAAAGCAGAGGCAGGATACCAGCATCCACATGCACCAGAAAGCAGATTGTGGGTTTATCAGCCCAAAGCACCAGCTCAACCCAAAAAGCACCACACCCCAACAGCAACAAGTTATCAGCACATGGCACAAACTGATAAACTTTACATCTGCGTGAACTTCGAGATAGGAGGCTTTCGTGAAAAGCCACCCAGCTCACAGAGTTATCAGGGGGCGGGAGTGAAGGAGACACAAGCACCTTTCCGCGCCGTACCTGCTTTTGCATAGCCAATGAGCCCTCCTGATGCCACCAGAGCGGCGTAGCCAAAGCCCAGCCAGTCCACGGCCATACTGAAAACTGGAAAAGAAACTGCGGTGAGGGTCACTATCAATTTTTTAGAGGAAAAAAAAAAAAAAACCCAAACCCAAAACTTTTTGCCACAGGGGGCTTTTGCACGAGCAAGGCTTTCCCAAAGCCTAAGGCCTAAGATAAAAACCGATTTGCTGGGAATGCAGCCTGGGGACGGCGGAGGGAACTTCGGGGTCAGCCCCACCAGGGAGGGTACGCGACCAAGGCTCACCTACCCGGCGGCCCCGCTCCACAGCAACCCGGGGCGGAGCAGACTGCGGAAGGGGAGGCGAGGGAGCAACGCACCGCCCCAAACTTTCCTTTTCCGGCTGTTTTGGGGGAAGGGAAAAATCAAACCTCAACCAAAAAAAAAAACCCAAACAAAAAAACCCCAAAAAAACCCCAAAAAACCCCCCCCAAAAAACCCAAAAAACCCCACCACCCCCCCCAAAAAAAAACCCCAACCCAAACAAAAAAAAAAACCACAACAACCCACAAACGAGCAGGCAGGGTAGCCTGGGGCTACCGAGGAGTTGGTGCCTTCCTACGTACCTGCAGAGCTGCGGGTAACTCCCCCGGCAGGAGATACCCGGGGGGCGGGTATCGATGCCCGAGCAAGCCCGGGTGCCTGCAAATGAGGAGAGACTTCAGTGCAGACGAGGTTTTCGTGTGCTTGTTCAGTGCGGGGCAAAGCTCCCTTATAACTGCATTCGTGTGTACCCAATCCTAGTCCTGTACCAGAAGTGGAGGTATGGGGTAGAGCTGACAAATTGAGGTAGGGGTTTTTTGTGGCATGAGCTACGACCCTGGGCAGCCTACAGGCTGCTGCTAGCTTTGATCAGTAATTTCAGTATAGCCCTTCTATGGAAGATGTAGAGGATTTCTATGTACTTCAAATTAGAAGTACAACTAGTGCAACAGAAAAAGGAGTCTTCCACTGTAGAAGTTCTGCAACAGTGGGAGATGGAAAATATCTTGTAAATAAAATATTTTGCATTTTTTTAATCTGAAAAAATGTAGAGAGGTCTGTCTACAAACTCTTTTTTTTTTTCAAGTGCTGAAACTGGTTTTCTTCACGTATATAGTGCTACATGGTTTATTCCAGTTGGCTATGCACTTATCTCCCATTGACATTTAACCATATAGAAAGAAAGAACGCTCCTCCAGCCAGGTCCCTGAGCTGAAGGGCTTCAGTTCCTCTTTGTAACAGAAGGCACGAAATATCAGAGGCCTGTGCTTTCTGCAAAATGCAACTTTCTCTAGCTGCATTTCACATTTTCCCATCTTTATGAATTAGCCCAATGGTCAGAAAATAGAGAGCAGTTTAATTCCCTTGTTGGACCAAGTGGTTTAGAGATCTCCTCTATCCCTGAAAAGTGTCACAACTCACACAAATCTAAGCTATACTGGATGGGGTTCCCTTTTCTGTTGAAGCTGTGTAATGGCTGTGAGGCTCCAGTTTCACTGGGCTCTGCTTTCTAACCCAGTACTGGGGTTCCCCAAGAGGAAAGCAGGAAAACTGGAAGAAATCCACAGATGCTGGAGCTGCTGAACTCACCTGGGCTCAGCTGAGACACTGCTGGCCAGGCTGGCTGGTGTCTCTTGCAGCCATGGCTCCATCTACCAGTGTCACGCTCGCTCACCCTTTCTGACACAGGAAGAGCTTTCTCACCGCTGTCATCTCCTCTTTCTCTGCGCTGCTGCCTCCTCTCTATCATTCTAAGCAGTTTCCAGGAAACTAGACCAGAAAATGTTCTGAAAAGGCAGATGTGCACAAGAAAACAACAACAAATTGCCAAGTACTGGTTGGTAGCTGAGCATTCTCTCAAGGTATAGAAAATTAGAGTTCTCCTCTCAGGACTATTTCTGTATTTCACCTTAAAAACTGTTAGGACTTTCCTTCTCGGTCTCCTGTTCACAAATTGTTCCGAGTCTCGTGAGATGCATAATTCTTTGTTACTACAGAGAGAGTCTGGATTTTTACAAATGCCTAATATTTACATGTAAATCAAAACCTTAGAACCAAAATTCTGGGGAATTTTTGCTTTTTTAATTCTTAAAATTCTGTGCAAACTGGATTCTTCCTGGTACTCATGAGAGCTTGCTTCTGTAATTGTGATGTCCGTGGCCATGAGCTCATGTATTTAAAAACTGAAGCAATAAAACCTGTTTTAGTAGGGGCGGCCATTATGTCAAGAACAGACATAAGATAAGCACTATAAAATAGACACAACACCTTTACAAGTGAAAACACTTTACACAATTCTCTTATTTAAGCTTATACTTTTTAAGTCCTGTGTTTACTACAGGAGTCTTGTTATCAATTAAAAATCTGATTTGGTACCTTTCCTGCCAAGTCTACAAACCATTTTAAGTTCTCTATTATTTGCCCGTGTTTGTGTGCACACACATTCAGGGTATTATTAAAGTTAAAAGCTGTGTAAGCTCAAACTAACGTACAGCTGAAATCCCTTTAGTGTCAAATTAAACTGAGGTCATATAAATCAACTATACTGCATATTCAGACAAGGGGTTGTGATCATCTATCTGTCTAGCTATGGGAAATAGTTACAGCAGATAAATACAGACACCCACTTCCAAGGGAATACTGCCATTGCCACGTGAACAATGTTGTAACAGCACCGATGATGCTCACTTTGTTTCAGTGTCAGAGCACACACAGAGAGGAGCTGGAGTTACATCCTATTTTACATCCCCAAGACAGACTGCATTCCTACAATCTTTTCTCTGATTTTCTCCACCTTTTCTCTTGCTACACAAATAAGGAGGAACAGATTATTACTAAAGTGAATCAGAATAAAGCATAATTCCAATTACTCCTTGAAAACAGAAGAAATAATGACTACTCCAGTAGTGCAGAAAACAACATTAAAATGCCTTACTTTAAAAGAAAGAAACAGAACATTTAGCACAGCTATTTGACCTTGTTCTCTCCAGCTCAACTTTGTTTTCCCCACTGTATATTTGTAATAAGACTTAGGATAAAATCCTGTTCCCACTGAATGAGAAGGTCAGGAATTCATTTTCTGTTTAAGTGCAAAACAGATGGGTGACATTTTATCAGCATGACAAACATTTCAAAAGCTTTTTTTTTTTTAACAATGCAGCTCAGATCAAGGACTTGAAAAACTACTATGGGAAGGGGGAAGAGAAGGTAAGACCTTATTGATATGAACTCTTCCACCTAAAAATATGTATCATGTTCTGAACAAAAGATTTCAATCATGTGAACCATGGGTGCAAAGAATTTAAAAAAAAAAAAAAAAGCATGAAGTATGGACATGGTAAGAAATGCAAACATTTTGCTTATAAACTCAATGTATAACTCCATGTCAAGAACTAGAAAGTATGATTTTCTGTGAATGTATGAATGGAATGTGATCATCATATTTTAAGTAATTTTAACATGTTCCTTCTTACAGTAGGAAAAGTAATGTATCATATTTTGAGTCAAAGGAACAGTAACTTTTCCAACACTAAACCAAAAAAGTTTATGTATTTTTAATATGCATTTAAGTGAGACAAAAATGTAACTGAGACAGATGCAGCTATTTTTATCATTTTAGCTGGCTTTTCGAGAGCCAGTTAAAAAGTGTATGCTGTTGTTAATAGAAAAATATAAACATTACATATTATGGATTTATTTTTGCTTTGTTCACTTAAGAAAAGTTGCCATATCTTTTGCTACTTCCACAATGATCAATCGATTTATTAGGGTAAAAATGTTCATTACTTTTAAACAACAGATCAGTTCAGAGGTATATGTCCCATCAGAGGTTTACATCCTTATAAAAACTACAGCAACACCAGTATTAACTTTTAATTCAGGAAAGAAAGTAGCTGCCTTCATGCTGAGCTATTCCGTTTCTTTTTCTTCTTTTGCAGTGGAGCTTCCAATGTTTGCTTCTCTGGAGTAATTTTTTGCTTTCTTTTTTCTGTTTTATCAATATTATCAATCCAACAAACTTTGCTTTTCCTGACTATTGATGATTTTTTATCTTCATTTGCTGAAAAAAAGCAAGAAATTATTCACACTGATATTTATGTCCAGTCTTTATAGCCTAAAATGGCATAAAGACTTATTTGAATCTCATTTTAAACATGGGGTTATAAATTATTTTTTATTTACAGTGGAATGTGCCATTTATACTAGTTTTGCCTGTGAGACGAAAATATCTAAAGATCAAGTATGTAAATAGATTACAGTACAGGAAAACAACAGCAAAAAAAAAAAAAAAAGTACTGAGCCAGACTTCCTAAGTTTGCCTAACTACACTGGTCTGAGACCTAATTTTGTTTATAGGAAAACAAGACATGCAGTTCTATCAAACTGTTTAGTCTTTTCTTATCTGTCTCAAAAGCTTCACAGTGGTTTCTTCAGTATGTTACTCCAGTAAAGGGAAACAAAACTTTCATATAATAAAAGTGAAAAGAGGCTTATGTCCTCATACATACATGCAGACTTGAGACACTATCAGATTGGTAAGGATATCTATGTCACTTGCCAGCATCATATCCCCAATTCTTCAAGATACCAAAACTAGTTTCAATGCATATAGTAAAAACCTCCTACTTAGTATATTCCACTTCACAGTCCCATTAACAATCGAAAATACACACAGTTCTGTTACCTTGAGATGATGTTGCAGCTTTATCAGAATTTTCTTTTGTTTCTGAAGCTTGGTCAAGCCATACTGCAAGACATGTCAGCCTAGCTTTGGTATTGACTTCACACAGTAAAGACGGCACATCTTTAATCTGAAGATAATACAGAAAAAGATTAATTAAACATGTATCTTACTGACCACCTTCCATTGATTTCTGGTGCCTAACAATGTTTAGAACTAGAGGTTGCACACTGGCTAATAGTCACATTGTTACAGTCCTGTTGCTGATACTGTTCCTCAGTGGTGGTTTTACAAAAAACTCCCAATGGCTTTAAGAACATACCTTGATAAGAAAGATCAGTCGGTCTCAGGCACATAGGGGTAAGTTTAACAGGAGGAATAACTAGATGAGTCATAGACCCACCAAAAAAAATTGTTAATGGTTTCAGAAGTTGCTCCAGAGCAATAGGTATTTTTTTGGTATAGCTAAAATAATTTGAATGAAGTGATTGCATCAGATTCCTTTTCTCCCTCACAAAGACAAGGATGCTGATTAAAAGTAATCTCTTTAGAGTGTGTTTCAAATTGCTTAACTGCAATTACATCAGTCAGCTCTAGAAGTGAGTGAGTAAATATCCTA